ATTGTCACGCATGTATACTGCCAGATATTAATACATACTTTCAACATATTGTACCACAGTAGCCAGAACTATAACTATAATATTATTACTTTCAATAATGTTGTTGTAACCTACTGTCATTACCTGCATCTCTCTCTCTGTCTCTCTCTCTGTCTCATTGTGTCATGCGGATTACTGTTAATTTATTATGCTGATCTGTTCGGTACGACATCTATTGCACGTCTGTCCGTCCTGGAAGAGGGATCCCTCCTCAGTTGCTCTTCCTGAGGTTTCTACCGTTTTTTTTCCCCGGTAAAGGGTTTTTTTTGGGGAGTTTTTCCTTATCCGCTGCGAGGGTCATAAGGACAGAGGGATATTGTATGCTGTAAAGCCCTGTGAGGCAAATTGTGATTTGTGATATTGGGCTTTATAAATAAAATTGATTGATTGATTGACCAGACTCGCAGGTCTCCTCTTTGTTTCCACAGTTGGCGGCTTTGAAGCTGGATCCAGATCTCAACGGCAACCCACCATTTCATCCTTCATTCAACACCTACAGTGGCCTTCAACTACCTGATGAGTCAAGCGATTCTCCAGATGTGTGGGAAATTCATCTCTGCAATTGTTTCTTAAATGGACTAAAACCGGACATTGCCTCAGCTGTTATAAGTGCCTGCATCATTTGGAATGATGCATGCCTGTCCGAACTTCGCAGACACGCCATACATGCCCATGACCAAATACCCTAAGATAAAAAAAAACAAAACAAGAGACAACACAGAAGGAGCTTCACATGGCAGCAATAACCATGTATAACACAGTTATACAACATGGACAACCAGGTCATGAACTTAGAGGTAAAGAACGCGGCCGACACAAGAACTGGGGAAGAAAAACTCCAAATGATGTCTGTTTCCTCTGTGGCCAACGTGGACATTGGAAACATGATTGTCACAGAAATACCTCATCAAACTCAGCAGACAAGTCGGACTGAAAATGCCTGGGGGTTGTCGGAGAGAGATGGACTCCTGCTGACAAGCCAACTTGTGGGGCCGGAAGAAGGTACTGCACCACACACACACACACACACACACACACTGAGCAGATTAATACACAAGTTAGTGAGAGTTCAGACAACATATATGCAATTGCTCTAACATATGTTCACTACACATCTGATCATTTCGACAAGTTACCACAACATACATTGACCATCACAGAACAAAATGTTGTATTCTTAGTTGACTCAGGAGCCACACATTTCTGTGATAGAAGTTTTAGAATTCACTAAAAAAAACAAAATTAAGTGGAGATTATGTGTACTCTGTTGGTTCATCAGGTCAAACAATTAGAGAAAGCATTACTATCCCACTCAAATGTGCGGATGAGTCAAATACAAGCTCCAAACATGCATTCTTGCTCTCTGAAGTCTGTCCCATTAACCTGATGGGCAGGGACTTGATGTGCAAATTAGGCCTTTGTCTGATCTCAACCCCAGACGGTGTCAAAGTTCATAGACCATCGGATCTAGAGCTCCTCTAGCTCCTCCTTTGTTCACCACATCCCAGACCTACAGTATCCATATCAATGGAAATTGCAACCATCAGATGCCTCTGAGATTGTGACTTTAGCTAGAGAAACAGTTTCAACAGCTACAATAGATTTTATGACATCAGAGGACCTGCATTGCACCTCTCATGTGTCACCAGGACCTGATGAGCCATATGAGGAAGGTTGGTTGAGGGAGAGATTTGACAAACTCACATTGACACACATTTATTGAACACAACACAAGTGTGCTATATCAGTCTCTCTCACACCAACTCATTGTGACATGTACACCATGGACCATTCAGTCCCACACCTCACACTTGCAAAACACACAGATAACTGGGAAGATTTGGGCCCATTTATAAAATCATGTCAGCGCGCAGCCAATTGGCAAGAAACATCTGATTGATCTATTTTATTTTCACCAACACTGCAGTGCTACTCTAAAACTTTAACATCTGTTGTCCAGCTGGTACCTAAAAGCACTTCGAAATCTTTTTGTTTTTTGTCCGAAGAACAACCTACACAGCCCTACAGGAGGTCCCTAAGACACTGTGGGCTGTCCGTAAGTATGATGTTGGCCTCATCAAAGACTGTGAACCTGTTCTCATTACTCCAAAATCAGACTTTAGACCTTGCAAGTCTCAATATCCACTTAAACAAGAAGCCATCGATGGCATAACACCAGTCTTTGAGTCTCTTAAAGCAGCAGGAGTAATTGCTCCCTGTGATGACTCTCCAGTGCGCATACCTGTGTTCCATTTTGCTCCCAAACTCAATTGCTGTTTGTAAATGCCTTGCTCATACTAACAACTCAGATTCTGTCTCTCTAGGAAACGCAAGAGCTGATGCTGCTGCAAAAAGAGCTGCACTCCAACCCACTATCCTTGATACTTTGTTTGTTTCAACTCCAGTCTCTATTCCCAGCTCCCTTACAGCAATACAGTCCTTGCCACACCACAAGAAAAGACGTTGTGGAGACGCTGTGGTGCCACACAGGAAGAAGCAGTGTGGCCGGGACACGATAACAAAATCTTGCCAGCCCAAACATTTCTTTCCTCACTTTGCAAAATTGACACATGGATTGGACCATGTGTCAAAAGGGGGGATGTTGGATGCCATAACTCAACACTGGTTCACCAAAGGTTTTTCAGTTCATGTGCAGAAGTTTTGTCAATCATGTATGGTTTGTGCAACAGATAACGCAGGTAAAACCAAAACAATGACACACGCCGCACACCCACCACCAAACAGGCCGTTCGAACATGTAGTGATTGATTTCATAGAACTGTCACCAGCAGAAGGGAAGAAATACTGCCTGGTGATGGTTGACGTGTGGTCAAAATGGGTTGAAGCTTTTCCAGCAAAACATCAAAGCAGCCAAGTGGTAGCAAAGGCTCTGTTAACTGAAATAATTCCCAGATGGGGAATACCAACAAGATTGAGCAGTGACAATGGTTCACACTTTGTTAATGCCGCCATAACCCAAATCAGTAAATTCCTTGCAATTGATCTCAGACAACATTGTTCATATCACGCTGCCAGTGGAGGAGCTGTTGAACGGGAAAATGGCACCCTGAAATCCAAATTAGCCAAATGTTGTGAGGAAACAGGACTGCCATGGACTAAAGCTCTGCCTATTGCTCTATTACACATGAGAATGAGGAAAAGGTCCAGATTTTACATGAGTCCTTTTGAAATTCTTTTTGGCAGACCTCCATCCCTAGGAGTAGAGCCTGTAACCAGACCACTCCCCTCCACTGGCCTTTGTGAGGATGACATGTTACAGTACTGCAAAAACTTATCATCCTCTCTCTCTCTCATCTCTCAGCAGGTGAAAGCAGCCCTCCCATCACCAGCCTCCACCCCACTCCATGATTTCCAGCCCGGTGATTGGGTGGTGATAAAGGACCTGAGAAGGAAGCACTGGCACTCCAGACAGTGGCGAGGTCCATTCCAGATACTCCTGACAATGCACACCGCCGTGAAGGTCACTGAGAGAGCAACGTGGGTCCACGCCAGCCACTGCAGGAGGATCCCTGAGCCGACGGAGGAATTCAGCTGCCAACCCGGGTGACGTGACGACAGGCGATGCGACGACGGGCGACACGACGACGGACAATGTGACGACGGACGAACACAGGAGAGAACAACGAGGGATAACTCCGTGAATGCAGCAGACACCAGCTAGACATGGGAGACCAACTACAACAACCTTCTCATCCCATCAAATCACATCATGCACCACCTGATCCTGCTCCTATCATGCTCAGCAATGCTGATAGAAGCCTACACATACGAACCCGCCAAGACTGTCACCCTGACTGAAGGGCAGAGTGCAACATTCACTTGCAACATCTATCCTGAAAGTCGGCGATTTGGTCAAATTCGTGCATATTATGCCGAATATGACAAATATCTGTGCAGAGATCCCTGTGGACCACGCGATTGGCATTTGGTTGTGGCAGCCACGAGCAAAACCCTTGCCCCAAACAAAGACTCTCGTTTCAGCATGACCAAAATCCCACATTCCAACGGAGCACGGATCGTCATCTCTAATGTCAGACCAACTGATGCAGGTACATATTGGTGTGGAATCGAATATCCACATACTCTGATATGTACAGGCAACTCAGGATCGTGGTCAACGGGCCACCACACTCACATGACGCTCCGCTTAACATGCTGCCAAATGTTAAGTCCATCCCATCAACTCCTGAAATAGATAGCTACCACCCGGACAACTTAAACGTCATGGACCACAGAGGGAACACAGTGCAGCAAGCCCTCAGGCAGTGCAACAACAACAATGCATGTGCCTTAGCCCTTTTACACAAAAAGGAACTGAAGATTCCTGGTGACTGTTGGGTTTGTCATTCTCTGACAACCAGATGGCAAGCCAGACCACTCACAGCAAAAATTATGTCACAAGGTCACATGAAGGAATCTTGGGGCAGAGAAGACCATGGCAAATGCACTGTCCCTCTGGGAATGATGACTTTACTGATTGCTGGCCAACAACTAAGGGAAAATGTCTCAGTTACAGCACACCCCAATATCACCTGCACTGACTCCCACTCAACCCCCAGTAACATGGCATTTGATGTTCCCCTACAACATGCAGAGACCTATGTTTGTTCGGCATCATCATTAGGGCCTCATCTAGGACAGTCAAGCTGTCAAACTAAAATATTTGTAAACACCACGGCATTAACTAATTGCTCCCATAGGTGGCCTAATAACACACTGACAAGATTTGCGTGTCCATTTAAACATCTTTCATCCCAACCAGGAATAATGTGGTCTTGCGGTGGAAAAGCTTATCATGGCTTGCCACCTCAGTTTCAATGGTCTGGCTCTTGCCACCCATCAATAGTTACCACAGATACAACAGTCTTCCTTAAGAAGGTTCCCACTATCACTAACATTCAGTCCACCACACATTTTCGAGATCGCAGAGATATCACCGGCGTTCCCTCAAAATACAACGGTTATGTTTTGGCCGATCCTTGGACTTCCCCCAATGCCAATGTTGGCTGGTCTCTATTTTAAGGAGGGGGAACTGCTGCAGCCCTGAACAAAATTAATGGACTGGCCTGGTCTGCTCTCTCTCTGGCAAACTGAACTGAAGCAGCTCTCACTTTAGTCAACACTGAAATGTTTGCAATTAGAACAGCAGTTATTCAACACAGACTCGCTCTCGATATCATCTTTGCTGAAAAAGGAGGTGTTTGCAAGATACTTAATGCCTCTTGTTGTTTCTATGTTCCTGATGAATACGAGAACATCACCAACATTATCAAACACATGCAAGATGCCATTAGGCCCCCACCAGCTGCAGATGATTCATGCTTCTCTTGGTTGAAGGCTTGGGGTCAAGAATGGTCATCATGGTTCCTAACAATGATTGTACCGGTCGTAATTATTTTCTTTTTACTCTGCACCATAACCCCCTGTGTGTTGAAATGGCTGTCTACTGTACTTACCAGAGAGGTGATTCAATCCTCCATGTATGTCCATGTGAACATTAATAGTGACCATCAAATTTCAACTTCAGTTCCTGTCCCTGATCTGCCTCACTACTCCAGCTCAGACTCTGAATTTGATGACGACATTTGGTAAACAATTTTTTTTTCTTTTCTTCTTTTTGCTTTCTTTACTTTTGTTTTATTTTTACCTCCCTTTTGATGATTATTATTTTTATTCCTTTCTTTTACTGTTATTGACATTGTATCTCCCTTCCCCTCTGAACAACTGCTATGATGATGCATTTTAAATCCACATGAACTAATGTGTTGGATATTCAAGTTGTGACCAACCTTTGTAATATTCGCTTTATGTTTTTTTTTTCTTCTTCTTTTTTTGTGGTTATTTTTTTCTTGCTTTTATTTTTATATATATTTTACCTTTTTTATGGCTTTTATTTTTTATCGTATTTTTATTCTATATTTTTCTTTTATCACTTATTTATTTTTCTTTCCTTTCACACTTGCTTTCTTTTATCATTGATGCTTTCTCCATTACTGATTAATAGATAATCAAAAGGGGGGGGGGGGGGATGCTGGTCCCTACAGCAGACCAAAAGGTAACAAAGAGCAACTTACAACTTAGTCAAAGACCTTTGTGAAGACCCCTGAAGGACGTTCCCAGGCCACTGAGGGGCGGTCTTCAGGTATAAATGTTTAGCTCTCCCCCTGCTCAGGGTCTTTCTTCATCTGACCGCTCGTGTGATGACTGACCTTTTCTTTGCAAAGAAAATAAAAACCTTGTCGGCCGGCAGAAGTCTCTATTTCATTATTCACCAGCAGCAGAGAATTTCCACAACATATGTTACACTTAGATATGTTACAATTTTACACTTTGATCGATCTGCTGACTGTTCTCTTTGTCTTTTAACTGTTTAGCACTCTGCCCGTGCAGTCCTGCCCTCTTGGCAGCGGTATCCACAGATATGCTTTTTATGTATTTAACTCTTTATCTTCTCTTTTATTTTCTTAGCATTCCGCCCGTGCAGTCCTGCCGTCCGGCACAACACTCCTGCCCCTACAGGCTTAAAGGAGTGTTGGCAAAATAGGCAGTGGTAACCACGGATATGCTTTTACGTATCTCTTCTCTTTTTCTTACTCTTTTTAACTCTTTACTGGTTATTTTTCTCTGTCCTGTATAACTCTTACAGGTTCCTTTTTCTCTTGTGCACTTCTTATGCTTATCTGTCTCTTAATACTTTAAATACTTTAACTACCTTACTGCTTGTACTACACTTGTTACCATACATTCAGCACACACACATTCACTCTTTCCGCTCCAAGATCACACTTGTTGCAGCAGACTCAACCGCCTCCAGTGATGTTAGTCGTATCTCAGTGATATCCTTAATTTTCTTCCAATCAATCAGCACATCATAATTAGGTTCTTTAAAGGAGGGAAATTTGCCAAATACCTTTGACCTGGGCAGCCCCAGCACTGCAGCACTGAGCTCTCCCTTTTATGCTGGTGAAGATTCGAGAGAATCTCCACCCTTTTCCTTTTAGCCCTTCCTACCTGAGCCCAAACCTATTGGTGGCAGGCCTTTTTTCCTTTGTCCCGAACATGCCCAGGCATGTCTTAATGGTGTAATCTTTTTTCCCCAGCCTGGAAATCCCCAAACTTTCCCACCATTAGGTTTGAACTCAGGTTCACCCTATTTTTTAAAAACATGTGGAACTTGGGACTATTTCTATAGGTCCCTTGTGCTTTCATGCAATATAAAACCTTAGAGTGTGTGTGTCTATTATTACACTTCCAGGCAGTACATGGTAAGGTGTGTGTATGTCCTCAATATATGAATACAAAACTTGTGTAAAGATGTTTTGCCATACATGGATACATAAAACATCATTATAAATGAACTTCAACCTTAATCAACTTTACTGATTAATGATTAAATCTTACACTACACTTGCCATAATAGCTTATCATAGGGCCTAGGAGGTTATTCACTGAGTGCTGATCCTTTCTCTACAACACAAACTTCTTGTGTTTATTTGAATGAATACATGCACTCTATGGTCATTTCTCATATAACTTACTGTTTAACAACCTGGTCGCAGGCTAGCACCTCTATTCTGAAACCATTACAGTCTCTGTATAAACAAACACTTAAAATTCTTGACAAGAAATCAGTACATTTTCATCATTGCTAAATATTACATAAATATAATTTGTTGAGTTGAGGCAACATGGTTAAATATGTAGATGTTTGTCTGTTGTATAAGATTATATTTGGGTTGACTTCTCCGCTCAGGGAGTTTGTCAACAAAAGAACAACTGCACACCGACTCAGGTGTAGCAAGAGGGGACTGCATTATCCCACTCAGGAAAAGGAGGCTGCTGACGTGCTGACATATTGCGGTAAGCGAGTCGTGTCATTTCCGGTGTTTCTGTGACAACGTCTCTGTACTGCTCTAGTGAATTCTACTAGCCTGCTTTCTGCTTTCTCACTTCAGTTGCTTTAACATCTACTTCAAGTCTTAATCCACACTAGTTTTGTTTAAGCACTTATAGCTCTCCTTTTTTTTACGACTTCCCTGCTAATCTCTTAGCTTTTGTTTGCACGTTACTAGCCTTGGTAGCTACATTAGCTTAACAGTTAGCGATGGCTTCTCGTTCTGCTCTTTCTTGCTCGGTGTGCCAAATGTTTAGCTATGCCTCTGCCTCCTTTAGCGACAGTGGTAATTGTAACAAGTGTAGCTTATTTGCTGTGTTGGAGGCGAGGCTTAGTGAATTAGAAGCGCGGCTCCGCACCATGGAAAATCATTCAGTAGCTGCGGTAGTTAGCCAGTCCCCTGTAGCCTGTAGGAGCCACATAGCATAGCTTCTGCTAGCGGTCCTCCGGTAACACCCGTTCAGCCGGGAGGCTGGGTAACTGTTCGTAAGAAGTGCAGCCTCACCACCAGCCTGTTCACATTTCCAACCGCTTTTCCCCACTCAGCGACACACCCGCTGAGGATAAAACTCTGGTTATTGGCAGCTCTATTCTGAGGAACGTTAAGTTAGCAACGCCAGCGTCCATAGTCAAATGTATCCCTGGGGCCAGAGCGGGGCGACAATGAGTCAAATTTAAAACTGCTGGCTAAAGCTAAACGTAGATTCAGTATGTAAAGCCCTGTGTTATTCACGTCGGCGGCAATGACACCCGATTATGCCAATCGGAGGTCACTAAAATTAATATTGCCTCGGTGTGTGAATATGCAAAAACAATGTCGGACTCCATAGTTTTCTCTGGACCCCTCCCAAATCTGACCAGTGATGACATGTTTAGCCGCATGTCATCATTTAATCGCTGGCTGTCCAGGTGGTGTCCAGCAAACAATGTGGGTTTCGACTCAGAGTCGCAGTCCTATACGCTTCTCTGAGCTTCTAGTGCAATTACCCACCCATAGTTTTCATAGTTTTATACAAATGGTGTCTGTCCCCCGACTACCTAAATTATTTAAATCTAAAATTAAACATAGAGGAGTTGTGCATAACAACCTCATAAAAATTAAAACCTCTTCTGTGACAGAAAGACAAAACAGGAGAATTAAATGCGGACTGTTAAATATCAGGTCTCTATCGTCTAAAGCAGTGTTAGTAAACGAATTAATATCAGATAATCATATTGATTTA